GTTTGCCACCAACTGAGCCAGGCTGATATTTAAAACCAGTATTTGTGTGTACTTTTGCAGTGCTATTGTTCTGGGAAAGTAAATGGCTGGCTGTTGCTGTCACGGTGAATGCTTGTCTGTCACATTTTTATGTGGCACAATTACGCACCTTTATAAAAACAAGCTGCATGTGAAAGTTTTCCATGCAGGGCATCTTGTCACAGCAATATTTTTGACGGGTGGCTGAATGATAAGGGCACGTATAATGAGAAGTGGCCACTAAGCCCATCTCTATAATCCAGATTACTGCCATTGTATTTCACATTTTAAAAGAAATGTTCTTACTTTCATTCAATCGTTCCATTCAAACTCCAATCTGGAAATGATTGCTCCTCTGTAATATCAGCCACTTGAGAAACCCTCTCTCTTAAAAGAACTTTTTTTTAGTAACTATGATATACAATTGTAAAAATAAGTTTGTTTGGTCCATTGAGGGAAGGTTATTCATGTGACTACCTTAGGCTTTCATATCTTTCCTAGTTCTACATTAAAAAGAAGAACTTGTTGATCTCTATTCATTTTTGTAACTTTTTTTATTCAATGCTTCCTATGCTATTAGTTGCTGTTTTGTGAGATACGTTTCTGACAACATACATAGCTGAAGAGCTTCCCAATGTGTACTGGTATTTTACAGTCCTCCTCACAGTGAATCATTCTCCCTACTCCAGCAAAACCTTCTCCATCAATTCAAAGCTTAAAGGACTAGGTTTCAATGAAAATAAATATTGGGTTTGTATTCCTTTCATTGAGTGAATTCTGAAGCACGTTTTAGCTATTTTGATCTCTGACTGAATAGAAGCACAGTGTTGATTTAGAACATTTTTATATCCCATTGAACATGCTTTACTCGAAGGGGATAATGTCAATCACCAGCAATGGATTTAAGATCATTAATCTTTTCACACAACATTACATGCGTGATCTGGGAAAGGTAAATTAGATGCAACATTTCAAGGTAATATTTTCACTCATAATGCAAAGAAGAGGAATATTAAAGGGTATGAGGAGAAATCAGGAGTGGGATATCAGCGCAGAATTGTTGGGCCACATGGCCTGGTATCCGCATTACTCTAATATTCCATAATATGGTCTGACATGGTGTTTTTGTGGAGCAGAGTTGGTCCACGGGAATTGTAAGTTATCCTTTAAGAAATACAACTTGGACTCCATTGTCATCAATGTGTGCCTGAGGACACAATACAATACAAATTTACATTTATAATTGTGCCTTTCATGTTGGGAGAACATTGCATTACAGTCCTGGCTTGATACCTGAGCCAGGGGATGGAACCAAAGGGAATGGAGTATTATTACTCTACATCTGATCCTTTCAAAGAGGATTCAGACTGCACATGCTCTTTTGCAAACCATCTATGTGCTGCTTCTCTTCCCTGTTAATATCTGTTAATTTACTGTGCTCTATGAGCAGCAAAAAAAAACGACCCAATGTGCAAATTCTTGTTGGTTTAATGTTTAAAGAGAAAATTAGTCTTCATGCCAGGGATTGATTTTAATGTGCATCCAGTTACAGATAACAGTGACCCAATAGTGCCATCCCCTGGGTGGCAACCCTGCACTGTGCAATAAACTTAAGGGAATGTTGTAAAAGAGATTAAAATTGTCTTGGGAAAGTCATGGCAAATGATTGTCGTGACTGCTACACAGCTCTTCCTGCGGTGGGCTGGGTGTTTTGTCTCGTCCTATTTAACGTTCTTTGCTTCCAATCCAACAGAAGAAAATTGACCAGAGAGATTTACTAGCTGAGATGCTGAAGTTTGAGATATCTGCACCATTGCGTAAATTGACAGTTAGCCTCATTCTACAGATAGTACAGAGTTGAGACTGAGTCAGGAGAATCTGTCTCCCTTTTGATATTTGCTGAGACTGGTGAGCCCTTTCCAGATCAAGAAGACTTCCTGTTGAGTAAAGATTTCAGAGCTACCATTCCCGAGGCAATAACAGAAAGTGCTGTGTTTGTGATTTAATTGGGAGACATGAACTGTTCAATGTTTTGTGTTAGGAAGTGATTGAGAAGGGATTACAGTTGGTCAGGAAACCCTCCCCGTCCCGTGAGACCACCGCTTGACTCTTTTAGAAGAGTTTATAGCCCGGGAGGGAGATGTTGGAGATGCAGTCAATGAGTAAGGAAGCAATGAAATAATCCTTGCACTTGAGGAAGACTTTGTGTCGCCAGAAAACTCTTGTAATTTGATGATGGGATCGTTCCATCAATGGGCGCCCAGCCGGCATTATCAAGCACTCTTGAGATGTCTTCCCGACATGAAAGGCACTAAATAAATGTAAATTTTTATTGTAAATCAGATCATAAGTTTTGATAAACACAGTAAAGCCTTCAGATCATATCTTGCCACGCAGATCCAGAGGGAGGCATAGTAATGTTTCTGTATGTTATCTACAAGGTTGGAAACTTAGCACTAACTGGAAGACAACCACCCAAGTGTGTAAATAATAATCCTTGCATTTGATAAAGCAATTTATCATGTTGTCAAGACATCTCAAAGCTTCACAGGATATACTGTAAAGTGGTTTGACTTTGTATTTTGTGGGCAAAAAGCGACAGCCATTTTGCACTCAGCAATGTCCCACAAACAGCCGTGGAGTGAGTGCCTTTTTTTGATTTGGGGATTGTTGGCTGCGAGAAACTCTTTTTTCGAATAGTGCCATGGGATTTTTAATATCCAGCTGAACAACTAAGGGCTCAAGACAATTCCCCAATAAATAGAACAAGGAACTATAAAGGGTTTCAAAAATGAACTGCACAAGTTCTTGGACATTCAAAGGATTCAGTATTAGTAGATGGGATGGATCGAAGGAATCCTTTGGGGAGTTGAATAGGCAGACTAATGGACCAGTGGTTTATCTATATATGTATATATAATATAATATATTATATTATAGATACATAAAGCACCATTAATATTTTTGAAAAATCAAATATATTGTCATTAGAACCTTTAATAACAGTTTGTTGGATCTCAAGGCTTTTTTTCACACCTCAGATATATTAAAAGAAACCAATGGGAAATCACTCTGTACACAAATGCTTCCCGTGAGAGCTTGGAACGCTTGATCTCTGTTTTTAATTCATAATTTTCAGACAATAGCCAATTGCCGAGGCCAGCCTACTTCACGACTGGCGAAACACATTAATCGCTTTATGACCACTATTGGAAAGCCAGATTGATCAATAAAAAGTAACAAATGCTATTGATCTGAGGATGAATTTTGTTGTTAATGATGGGAATTGACTGCAGTTGATGAAAATATGACTGTCCAAATATGGATAACTAGCCAATTGTTTCAGTCTTTTCTGAGTGTCTCAAAGCTTTTCTCTCGTGCTTTCTCTTATTTAAAAATTTGCTAGCCCAAACAATTTTGCTCCAATTTTCTCCCTCGACTATCCTGAAGGCATTTTCCTTCAACTTGGATGGGGCTCCAAGGCTGACTTCCGGTACTTGTCTTAAGTGTCCATTATGTGAGTGACGCTATGTGAGTGTTGACAAGCTGATCAACTGTGCCAATTTTTCCTGGCTGGAGCACCTCCTTTCCTGAAGAACTCTGGGATGCTACCCCATGTGAAGGGCACTATATAAATGCATGTTGTTGTTGTAGCTTGCAGCACCATACCTGTTTATGCTGGCCAGTGGTGCAGCATTTGAATGGACCTTCCCCCAAACCATGGTAGTTTCTGTGTTGCTTTGAGACATCCTCCCGACATGAAAGGTGCTATATAAATGCAAATTGTATTGTATTTGGTGCTGTGTCAGTGTAAACACGATGACATTTAGTCTTTTCCTAAAGCAAAATTTGTGGACTAAATGTATCTTATTTGGGCAGTATTGGGTTTCCGTGCCGCCCACAGCACAGAAACAGCTCTGGTCAAAGTGATAAGTTTAAAGTTACTTAAGGTCTCCTCCTGGCTGCTAAGGCTCATTAGAAGTCTGTGAGGGAGTGAACAAGAACGTCCATTTGCATTTACTAGCTGGCCTCTGAGCTGCTTTGATCTGATATGGAGGTTAGGAAGCGATGGGCAGGTCTTTAGACAAGACTCTGCACTTAGTGATACTGCCTGACTTAAGAATGATGTTGATCTGAAGTTATTAAACACTTTGTGTCATTTGATAGATCCAGTATTTGTGACACTCTACTTGCAGTTTAATATTCACTAAATTGAAAGTGATGGGATTTACCAGCTGCAGTGGAAACCCATTATAAAGCTGTTTCGCTTACAAGGCAGGTGATCTGAGGATCCGCACTTGACTTTGGGGGGGCAGACCAGCCAGCTTTCCACACAACGATATGGCTGACTTCTGGGGGCATCGTGGAACCTGCAGGAAATTATGTTGGCAGCAACCTGATGACCCAGAAGTCAGTAGATTTAACACAGGCCGAATTTATAAGTCCTGCTGGAATTTTATCGAATCGCTTAGCTACTGGCTTAGCATGGAGAAACAGTTTGAATTTTTAAATTTTTAACAGCCACCTGACCAGGCAAACGAGATCTCAGTCTCTTCCTGAAGGACAGCATCTCCAATAATGCAGCACACTTCCAGCACAGCACTGGGGCATCAGTTTAGACTTAGATAAACTCAACGTTCGATGTAACCTTTCCTAACTTGTAAATTGAATTAAAGCTTGAAGATATGATAATTCAAGTGTTTGGTTTACAAAGAACCTCTTTGATATATTAAACAAAACCTTTGGTATCAGTAATTACTCGCTGAGATGTTGCGTGTCAAACATGGGTATTGAAGCTTGATTGCATGAAGAAATTATTTGGTATTTGCAGACTGTCAGAATCTGCAGTACAATATTTTACCAAAAATATTTTACTAATATTTTAAATTTCATGGAAACAGGAGACCGTTTGTAATTCTGCTCAGGACTTGTTTGTTACTGCTGTATCCTTCATGAGAACCCTTTTTTGTCTTGTTCTTCAGATCAGATCTCTCCTAAAGATCTCAACACATCCAGTGACGCAGTGAAGACAAAGTGCACCTGCCAAACGGCTCTCAGGAGTTAATCACCTTCTGGTGAGTGCAGTATTATTCTGGCAGCACCTTTTTAAACTCTATTACTGTGTTCCGACTAAGGCTATTTGTATTGCCTGACAAGCAGATTGTCTAAGATCAACGCACCTCACAGCATTGGGTATTGTAACAATTTTCTTGTGTGATTTCCCCAGAATGTCCACATACTTAAGTAAGACATGCACACATACATGGCATTGCCATTTGTTAATGTGACAACTTAATTCACCTTGAAACGTATACAATATTTTATAAGAGATCATTGTAAGCATCTTGTAATTAGCAGTAACATGATTTCAAATACTGTAATTTTTTGTGCAGGGGGATGGGGGAGAAGTTACTGCAGTGCGAGATGTCCCAAAACATTTAATTTGCAGACTTCTGAAGTATTTATCATTCTGGATGTCTCCAGGAATAAACACTGCTGGTGATCCCATGGCACAAATCGAAAAGAGAAGTGAATTTCTCCTGATGCCTTGGTTAACAATCCCTCAAATAAAAATGATATTTTGTGATTAGTAAATCATGGAAGTGTAGTGAGATCAATTCACAACCGTAAACTGGTCCAGGTCCCCGAACCGATTTTCTTTTGATGTTACAACGCGTGAGGTACGTTATTGGTTTGGACACTCTTAAGCATGATGATGGGTTTCAGCATGTGTCAGACACCGGCTGACTTCCAAAAAATTCTTTCTCACTTCCTGTTTTCAACTGACAAGCCTACAGTTTGCTGTGTTATTGGACTGTTTGTATCAGTTCTTTGTTCTCTTATTATAAACAGTAAAAATGCCCTTCTAGCTCATGTTGCATGCCTTCATGCACTCAATATTTGCCAATAAACATCCATAAAAAATCCATGTGTCCCAGACTTTAAAGGAATGATACTCTGATCACCTGTGAATTTACTAACCTTGACGATGTAAGCTTGTAATTGAATTTTTGTCATTCACCTCATCAACAACAAAATACATTTGTGTAGCGCCTTTCACGTCGAGAGGACGTCCCAAGGCACTGGATGCCACATCAATTACGTTTCTTGTGCTCTTAGCCTGAAGATCATTGTCTTAAGTTACAAGATTGTGCAGAATTTTGGAAAATTCTTAAATTCAATCTGCAGTTGATTTTTTGTCACTCTTCAGAAGAACAAAATGGGTCTTAAGACCATGAAAAGTTTGGGGCCTCAGGTTTCCTGTAATCACAGATACCTAAGAATATGTGAATTATAACTTGACAATAATATAATTAGTGTTAAGTGCCTTAGTGGCTAATGCAAAGTAATGGTTTAAGATCTATTAATGCAATCCATTACTTGGTCCTGTTAACCATTTTGAAGAAGTCTCGTCAGCTGGTAGATCGTCCCTGTATTGTACAAAACGGTAGGGGAAAAGGCGGGTGATTCCTGGAGTGGCTTCCTCAAGCATAGTAAAATCTGAAGCTACTTCATTGTCCAAATAGAGTGAATACTTTGGCAAAACCTTGATTGGCCCAACCCCACCCCTCCTCAGCTTGAGCTCCTTCCTTTTGATATAGTGCTTTCACCCTCAAAGTGCTTCGCAGGATATACTATAAAATATAATGACTGTGTATATAGCTGAAAAATTTACTGTATAAATTTATAGACCAGCATTGTGTGAAGACGTATTCTGAAAGGCACAGTATAAATGTAATTTGTTGTTGTGTCCTATCTATAACTTATGTCAGGCTTTCCAATATGGACCCGAAGTGTCCAGCTTTTGTATCCTCCCTCCGATCACTTGCTTTCCATATGATGGCAGCCAGCTGCTGTGGCACTTGAACTGTTTGGAGATGTGCCAGATGTTGTACATTTGACCACAGCAGCTTCTTGGAGGGTGATAACAATTGCCGTCATGTCAGAGTAGCAGATTATAAAGTTAGAATAAACTTGCTTTATTACCATGAAATACTGGTGCTTTAACACCCCTCCACCTCTCCACCCATTGGTAACGCAAGTACCCTCCTTTGTTTGAAAGACGACCCATTTTTTGCATTGTTTTTTTTCCTCCTTCCACTAAAAAAACAAACTAAGAGTAAAATGTACTGCAGATGTTTCCTATGAAAAGCAAACATTTACCTTGAGGAAAATTCTCTCATTTGCAGAGAACAAACAAAAAAAGGCACAATTTTTATAAATTGCAGGGGTCACTAACTGTGGTGCTGCAAATGTGATGCGGAGTAATCTTACAACAAATGCAGTCAGTTGCCATGGAAACACTCCACTGATTTTTGTCAAAAAAAAGCCTTTGGGGTTGATTCACTATATTAACCCTGTGCCTGCACAGTCCAGTTTCATTTAGAACTAACTTCACATTTTCTGCATCCATGACTCATTGGGGTTACAGATATATTTTTTTAAAAAAAGTGATTTAATGCCATGGCTTAAAGCAAACTACAAGCTTCAGTAACAAAAACAGAAGTCGCTTTTGTTTCTGTTTTTGTTTCAGATTTCCAGCATCTGCAGTATTTTCTGTTTTGTTTTGGGCATGCTTCAGTTTTGAGTTTGGCAGGTCAGCAAAGGCTTTTTAGCTACAAAGTTTTTTAAAAAAAACAGTTTCAGAGTGGACGTTTTCCTGCATGTCTGGTGGTGCCGGTTAACTGCTGTGGTAAGATAGCAGCTTATTGTTACTGTATATCATTGGTGGTCAGCAAACCAAATACATTTTCTCGATTGATTATTTCTCGATTTGTGTCATAAATCAAGAAACATTCAATCAAGAAAAAGCTGAAAGTGCACTGCCGGACAAGCACGGACTTGAGCGTTCTGGGATGCTGCCCCACATGAAGAGCGCGATATAAATGCAAGTTGTTGTTGTTGGACTTACCTAGACTTGTGCGAATGTTCAGGGGGCTCTTTCTTGACGGCCATGTGTGCCACTTCCTGCCACTAGATTGGCCACCACCGTATACCATCAGGAGCTGAGAGTTCTCTGGCTGCATCTGATTTATTTTGTTCTGAACTAAATGCAGGATGTCCATTAACGCACTGTGAAAAACGCACATTTTAGAATCGTACAAATTTCAGCACAGAAGGAGACCATTCAGCCCATTTCACCTGTACAGGTGCAAGCTCCCTACTAGAATCATCTACTTGAATTTCAATTAATTCAGAACTCTGCCGTCTGTATACTCGCCCGCTATAAACTCTGCACCCCCATCACACCAGTCCCCGCCAGCTCCATTGGCTCCATATACAATACAGCATTACATTTGTAAAGCGCCTTTCACGTCACATATCGTTCCCATATCACAGAACAGACCGATTTCAAGATCCCCACGCTTCTCTTCAAATCCCTTCACTCCCAGGCAATTCCCTACCTTTCCGACCTATTTTCTCCCCACTCCACCACCCGCCGCCTCTGCTTGTCCCTTGTCCCCTCTGCTGCACCATTAACGGCCGTGCTTTCAGCCACGATGCCCCTAAATCTTTGGAACTCCCTCCGTCACTCCCTCCACCTTGCCCCCTCCTTTCCCTTTTTCAGGTCTCACCTGAAGACTTTCCTCTTTGACAATTTTTTTTTATTTGGAGGATTTTTGACCAGGACACCATGAGAAGCTCCCTTTTCTTTTCCAATAATGCGATGGGGTTGTTAATGTTCACCTGAACAGGCAGGTGGGATTTCAGTTTAATGTCTTCTCTGAAAGATGACGCCTCCGACAGTTCATTCATCAGTCATGAGACTTTTCCATTTCAATTTGCATGTACATAATTGAACAGAGGTCTAAATTTCTCAGGGTTTTTGCTTTAAAACTATTGTTCTAACATTTAAGATAATGCAGAATTTTTCGAAAATTCCTAAATTAGGTCTTCATTTGGAGCCTATTTTTCATGGTTTGGAAAAGGAGCTTTCTGGTTAATATTGAATTGAACAATTTTTAAAAGTTTAAGATAATGGTTTTAAAGGTGAGACCCTGAGGATTGTCAGCAATGGATATGGTCATGATGTTTATTTGGGGAATACGCTTATTAAATTCCATTTCAAAACTGCACTTTCCCATGTAACACGATGCAATAAATATTTTATCATCAATCAGTGTTTATCATCAATCTGTTTGCACTTTTCCCACCATTCCCCACCTCACCCCCGGTTCGTCAAGCACTTTGAGACGTCCTCCGACATAAAAGGTGCTATATGAATGCAAATTGTATTGTAAAACCATGTTGGCTGGAATCACAAGCAGCGTCTTCCCATTTGCAGGAGGCAGACTATCCTCTGTTTCCTGCAAACATAAGAGCAGGATGCCTCCACCCACCCACCCACCCACCATTACTGTTCTGCTATACTAGACAAGTGCAAATAACAGTAAAATAGCTATAAAGAGAAAACCTGACAGATTATGATATGAACCTTTCAAGGATTGAACTTTACTGTTGCATTGCAAACAGCATCAATCTTCGCATTACAATGTCTGCCTAAACCATTCCACTTACAACCCGATGGAATTTTTGCGAATAATTATTCAACAAGAAGATTGTAAGTGAAATGAAAGCACAATAATTTGCAGGCATTCGGGGACACTTTTGCAAGGACCCAGAATGTAATGCCATTGTAACACTGATCGGTTGACCAGAGTGCGTGGGGGTTGGAAGGGGAGAGGTGGGTGGCTGAAAGTATTTTAAGTACTGAAATATGTATTGTGTCGTGGGAGAGTTCTGTTTTCAAATGGTAATTAATTTACTGGCAATAAAACAATGAAAATCACTTACCCTTGTAAAGGCAAACATTGAGGTTTTTTTTAGTCAGCCGGTTGTGGAAACCCAGGCCATCACCCTGATTAAGAGTATCCAAACCAACAGAGTTCCATGCATCCCATCTATACGTGGAAATTCCAGAGATATTTATTGGAATGGAATGCGAACTCTCTCCCTGGATGGATCCTGCTTACCTAATTCCAGAGAGTTATTAGGTGCAGGTTGGTAAAAGCCAAAGTTTGGAGTCGCCAGAGTGTTTGTTAGGGTACTGTTGCAGTTTAATCAAATAAAAATG